GACAGCAGCTTGATATTATGAACATCTCAATTAGCAGAAAAGTGTCAAGGGAATGGTGCCTTACAAAGAACCCAACAACCTTTCTTCACTTCTTCACTTCCGAAGCCACTGGCACTGCTAATCCTCCGAATAACAAGAACACACTTTATATCAATAACATGGGGTTGTGCGATAGACTTACCTCCACGTGGTGCACCCTGGCAACGTATATTCATACGGCAAAAAGTCTATTAACTGGCAGTTGACTTCTCACTTCAAACTACTACTCACTCTATGCCATATTCGACTACTTCCACAGAACTCACCTCACCTTTCTTCTACCCTTTCTACCTCCGTCTTTGAAACACTCTTCTGTTCCACCTTCCTCAATCTCGACTTTTTCACTTTGATGTTCCTTCCCTCTGTGAAGCCCGAAGTCAACCAAACGGCTAATGATAACCATCAAAACGCCTGCCAATTGATATAAATAAATATCAATAACATCCATCTCATTCTATGTCACGCAACAGAAGCTTCTACCTCCGTACACTTAACGAGTTCAAAGGACTAAAAATTTCATAGTTGTAACATTTCAATTCGTATAAAAATCTAAGTTAGGTTAAACACGAAGTTAAATTTTGTGGGAAATCTTATAGTGTAATTTTAGGTCACCAAAGCGAAACCAACTTTGAACTCGTAATTTAACAATCTTGGACGAAAAGTGTTTTTATTTAGTAGGTGTGACAAGTATCCTCGACAATCCACCCAAATGCCGCTAAAAGTACCTCACATTACATCAACTTACCATAGCAACATCAAGCTGTCTGCCCAGATCTTCATTTGAGAGAGTCAGTCGCTTCATGTCCGCTTCAATTCGTGCCATTTTTTCGTCTCTATTCTTGACCTCAACTTCTAGACGCTTTCGAAGGTCCTTTTCACGTTTGGCTTCTATTCTCCATTGCTCCAACTACAATGAAAAATAACTTTAATACCAAACTACTTAAATAACAATTAAGTAGCAAGTAAAAGTATGGTAGGATTTATTAGGGGTTCAAACATAGAAAGATATGCGGTAATGGGGAGAACAGCAGTAGACAGTAAGAAGCATGATAATTGAAAGTTAATAAACAAATAACCCCATCCAAATTTAAATGAAACAAAAGCACTAATGGATTCCGTTATATACAAAGGAGTTGTCGCTTCACGCCTACAAAGTTCAAATACTAAAAGGAGATTCTTTAACAAATGAATTAATAACAATGACATTCATTTTTATAGTAACAGATTTGTAAATTGACGAAGTATTTAGAAGAATCCCTATAAAATGGATGGGAAATAAATACAATTACGCCCCATAATGAAAGGAGAATAGTTGTCTAGCACATTGATCAGTTCTATGGACACATAATATCGTTTGAAATGTCTACATTTACTGCAAGTAACGTTAGAATAAACTATTCTACCTATGTAAATACGGGGTGTGTGATAGACTTACCTCCTCGTGGTGCACCCTGGGCAACGTATACTCATACGGCAAAAAAGTCTATTAATCGGCAGTTGACTTCCGACTTCAAAACACCATCACCTCACTGTATGTCATATTCGACTACTTCCACAGTACTCACTTCACCTTTTTTCTACCTCTGTGTCTGTCCCTTTTACATCTTTGAAACACTCTTCTGCCCCCCCCCCTCTCGACTTTTCTTCAACTTTGATGTTCCATCCCTTCTATTAAGCCTGAAGTCAACTAAAGGGCTAATGTCAACTATCAAAGCGCATGTCGTTTAATATAAATAAATAAATTTCAGAGATATTGAAATGCAGAAACGTTGCCCTGAGCCAAAAGTACTCTAAGTTTTGAAATAATTTTGTTAAATAAAGCTAGTGAAGTCCAAAGGTAATGATAGTTCTATAGTTTACCAATCCGCAGTATTCAAGTGAGTAGTACTAGAGGGTTGTTTTTTTGGATATCAACGATCCATATCTTCAATTAATCATAGTTTTAAACAATTCCTTGCAATAATTAATTAACAGCATATAATCATTACTCCAGTCTTCATGAGAATGAAGCAACACGCGTCTTGACGAGATATGCGCCAATTAGGAATAGCTCATGAGAACACATTGACCTACTCCACCAGACTCTTTTGCGTCACGATTTCGAGGCAAACCAACTGGCATGCCCGTTCTGTGTGCATGTGTGGGGGGGGGGAGGTTGTGATGGGTGTGGAGGGAGGAAGAATATTTATCCACTCTAGCATCTGTTAATTGGTTAACCTAATTCTTAGCAACTCAAAGAGCAGAGGCACCAGAGATCGTACAGCTCCTCCATAACTCATGTTTTTCTCAAACACATAATTTCGCTGGGGTTTTCCGGAGTAAATTTATAATTTTTACTTGTCATCTCACTACCAACCCTCACTTCACCTTTTTTCTACCTTTGTGTCTATCACTTTTACATCATTGAAACACTCTTCTGTTCACCCTCCCCTCTCGACTTTTTTTCGATTTGATGTTCCTATTCCTCTGTGAAGCCTGAAATCAACTAAAGGGCCAATGATAACTATCATAAAGCCTGCCATTTGATATAAATAAATGCATATATATATAAAGAATATTCAAATAACCAACCGACTCTTTATATCACAGTAGATTTAAGTAAAGGAATGGGAAAGGTACTGAAACCCTCAAAATTAATACTATTCCTAGTATTGATTGACGAGCTTTCATCGCTTACTATCACCGTAAAAACTTGATTTTGTCCCTCTAAACTGCTCAAATTGCTGCTTTTAAATTAGAAACTAGCCTAAATTGAATTCAGTGATAAAATCTTGACAATATATCCTGGGTAAGCACTTGACAGGATATCTGGTTAAAATAATTATGGAATCGAAATGCCAACCATTAACTATAAAACAAGGCAGGATGACACTTAATAAGTTTAAGCAAATTGAGCACTCAAGATAATCGATTGACGCTTAGTTACGTAGACAGAGATTTCCTATGTATCGTACACCCGAGTGGTGGTTAAAGAATTAAATTATAATTGCTGAACAGCTATTTCCAACTATTTCCTTGCAAAGGGTTCGCAAAAAGAGTGAAGACTTTAACAAACAAATCTCATTTTAAATGAATATGATAGTATCACTCTTTGAAATTTGAAATGCAATACATGCAAGCGGCCAACTTTATAAGTATTTCAGAAATAAAATTTAGAATAAGTTCTTTATTCAAAGACAATGGGAAGTTTCAATTCGCCCACCTACTTGTCAGGGTGTTTTTGCATTACTCATGCTTTTTGAATCAGAGATTACATAAGTCACAGCTTAATGATAATTGGGGTTAAAAACGGAATGGCTAATCACGTCATTTGAATGGAATCTTTCTTCTAATAGCAAAGATATAAGGAGACTTATATTATCAAATTAGGTGACAACAATTTTGCAAGGCATAGACCGGCCTATGTCCTTTCACTCAATGAAGACCTTAATCAGAAGAGAATTCAAGACCTCAAGGTGCAACGATTATAGGAGAGACCGACCTCAATGTGCAACGAAATTAAAGCTCGAACAAAGGAGAAACAGTGGCACTCTCCGACATAGCCGACTGGCGAACAAAGAGAATTCAAGACCTCAAGGTGCAACGAACTCAAAGCTCGAACAAGGGAGAAATAGTGGACAGTGGCACTCTCCGAAATAGCCGACTGGCTAAGAATCGAAGCCGTTGCTGAGTTTAACTTTGGCCAAGAATCGAAGCCGTTGCTGAGTTTAGACTACGTACCGGACGGATTGCCTGGCAAAACACCTTCAAAGATTGGGAGTATACAGTCAAGGTGCAACGAACTTAAAGCTCGAACAAAGGAGAAGGCAACGAAATTAAAGCTCGAACAAAGGAGAAACACAGTTGGCACTCTCCGATATAACCGACTGGCCAGGAATCGAAGCCGTTGCCGACTGGCCAAGAATCGAAGCCGTTGCTGAGTTTAGAGTGGCACTCTACCACATAGCCGAATGGCCAAGAATCGAAGCCGTTGCTGAGTTTAGACTTTGGCCAAGAATCGAAGCCGTTGCTGAGTTTAGACTACGTACCGGACGGATTGCCTGGCAAAACACCTTCAAAGATTGGGAGTATACATCTGGCAAAACACCTTCACAAATTATGAGTATACACTCAACCCACATGCCCTCTATGTAACCTACAGGAGGAAATAGAGAAGACCCACCTGATTCGGCGTCCAGCCCTAAAGACAATGACAGAAAGCCGGAGATACTGGGAAGCAAGAAGGTGGCTAATGAACTGCTATTAATTAGCTGCTATATATGTACTCCCCCCCCCCCGGAGGAAAAGCTGAAGCCAACTAAGGGGCTAATGATAAATATCATAAAGCATGCCATTTGAAATAATAATATGATCAAGTTAAAAGAGGCGAATCGAGTAAGCTCTACTCAAGGTCACTACCGAGAATCTTTAGGATTAGATTAGGTACATTAGTTACTTTGAAGTTGTAATTAAAATAGCCACTCAGTATTAGGGAAAAATGACCATTAAACAGTGAATTTTATTAACATTGGCGTAATTCCAATAATTTTGATTGATAACTTACTCTACCTCACGTGTAAACACATTCCTAACAGATAAACCATGGTTCCACATACCAATTATGAACATGACGTCTGGGGTCTTTAAAATCTATTTGCAGCCAATTACATTATTATCATTCCGAGGGAAAGTATAAATGTATGTGTAACTAATATATTCAACATCTCGCCTGTGTCAGGGTGACTAAAAAACCTTGGACACATAGAGGAAAAAATATAGACAGAGATTAAACTCAAATTACAACAATTTCGAATAAAGTACTCTGATGCCAAACAAATGCTGTGAACTAGGCAAAACGAACTTTATTAATGATTAGGTAAAATGTCTTCTTAAAGATCAGAAAGTAAACTAACCTTTAGTAGGGTGGCCACACTTTCCTGGGAGTCATTTTCTACATCCACTTCGTTGATCGCCAAAATTTGATCACCGATCATTATTCGACCGTCTAATTGGGCCGTGCTGCCTTTAATCTTGATGTAAAATTAGAAAAAATACAAAATTAGCTTGTGCCATCATGCTACGGTTAGCTCTATTAAAACACTAAATATATTCCTTGCAAACACGACTCTTAATAAAAGACCGAGAATGGTGTTACCGCCATACTTTAAAAATCGATAAATTCAACGTATCGATTAATTCAACTTTCAGATCTTTATAAACTGGTGTTTTAGGAAGTTCAGTCAAATATGAGACTCATGTAAACCTTAACTTAGAACAGCTAGTAGATCACACCGCAAATTTGGGGTAAAAATATGATTAGCATACTTTAAAGCCCCTAAATATAATTTTTTTTTCTCAATCTCATTCCGCTTTATTGCTTTTGTATAAATGAAGCGTTGAGACACTCCATTGTGTGGTCTGTCTGAGTTTGTTTCCTATACTGATCGACCTACCAGATCGCAGACAATAACTCCCAGACCAGACCTCTCGGCCGATGAAAGAGGCAGTTTATTTGGAAGTGATTTTGTAGTATTCGTTGAAGAAACACCATTAAAAGTCACCACGGGCGGACCAGAACGTTCCACAATACATAGACCCAATCCTCGTCCAGGCTTCTTCACCAAATCCACTGTTACTTCCTGATCGTACCATTTGGTCTGAACTCCAGACCCGGGTCGTTCAACCACAAGTGAGATGCTTCCACTGCTTTTGTCATCCGCATGATGGGACGGAGAGGTAATAGCCGCAACTTTGGAAAGATCGACATCGCTTGTTAGAGGCGTTCGACCTGAGAATGCTGCTCCAATGGTTGAGACAGCAATGGCATAGGGGAGATTGGAAAGCGACTCATCGTTAACTGCTAGCAGTCTGTCGCCGGGTTGAATTCGACCGTCCAAGGCGACGGCACCTTCGGGAAAGATTTCATGTACTTGTAGAACTCCCTATTACAAAGGAAACGACAATTTGTTGGCTTGAGATTTACCAAAAGTAACAGTAATTTGGTGTTTGACAAAACTATGACATGGCAACAAAATTAAAGTTCTAGGGCGCTATTGATAAAACATTTTACATCAAGGGGGGGGGGTAAGATAAAATAGTTGAGAATTTTTCTATTTCAGCTAGCATGTATAAATATCTATTTCTATCTTCTTTTAAAAAGGCTATTTAGAGAGGCATGATAGACTTACCTCCACTTGGTGCACCCTGGACAACGTATGCTCATACGGCAAAAAGTCTATTAGTCGGCAGTTAACTTCTCGCTTCAGACTACCATGACCCCACACTGTATGTCATATTCGACCACTTCCACAGTACTCATCTCATTTTTCATTTTCTTTACCCTTGTGTTTGCCTGTCTCTTTTCCACCAGTGAATCACTCTTCTGTCCCCCCCCCTCTCTCGACTTTTTCTCATTTTGATGTTCCCCCCTCTGCGAAGCCCGAAGTCAGCTAAATGGCTAATGATAACTCAAACCGCCTGCCATTTGAAATAAATAAATAAATAAATAAAACTAATTTAACGGTTAATGAGGGCTAAATAATATGGCAAGGAATTGAACCTGCAATTTCTGATGAAGAACCTCGAAAGTTGAGTTTCGAGACGTAGAAAACTCACCAACTTCAAAATTTTGTGCAATTAGAAACCGCAAATCAATGGAAGCAGACCACTCGGCTGCGATGATTATACTCTTAATGTCACCTCAACTCCCCACCTCTCCACACTTGCTTAAGTAC